GAGGTTTCTTACGGTGACAGTTTTATCCACGTTTATTCAAAACCAGTACCTGACCGAGGAAGGCAAGGGGAGTCAAATTTGAGGATGATGCAAAATCCAAAATCTATCCAGCAGGGCGGTTGTGACAAGGACAAAACCATGGGCTTTTTCAGCACTTTTAACAGTTAACAAAGAATGAGTTTCTGGCTACAATTTGTCAATCTTGCACTCGGTTTGTTTCATTTTTAAACTTTTTTTTACAAAGTGCATAAAAGTAGAGAGACCTCAATGATTCAACCTCTAAAAATCCACCGATTCAGGGTTGAGAATCCTGAAATCTGGAAAATGACCCTGAGAAATCACTTCCCTATAGCATTTCAGCTAAAAAAAAACCAATCCATGCATTAAAAAAATAAACAAGTAAATTACAAGTTAACCCTAACCCTCCTCGATCCTTAAATCCTTTGGGCAGTTTTGGAGGATGGAGGGTAAACGGCAAAAGTGCACGGTTGATTGCAAAGGATGCCATGAGTGAAGGTCGTGGGTTAGACCTTGTGTTGTTCTTGCTCAGTCACGCATGAATTCAACCCGATATTACTTTTGAATCAACCGCACTGCTCAAGAATGCCATTCGCAATGCCTCAACAAAAAGACAGGAATTGCCGGAAGATTTTGAAGGACTGAGGCAGTAGGCACACCTCCAAGTATAACATTTCAAGAAATTTGGGAGGATTGAGGGTCCCTTGCAAAAAGGGCCTAGGGGGTTAGGGTTAAACCTGAGGGCTTGTTCTAGTGATGTGAGTTTGCCCTCACCCCTGGCGACGTCGCCACTACCCTGTAGGGAAACAAGTAGAGATCCAAGCCAACTTGACGGAAGATGTTCTTGAATAGACCGATGACCTGCAGCGCCAACATGTCCTGAAGAGGGGAAATGCCAAATATACAGCTTTTACATACTTCAATAGTCCACCTGCTATGACTAATTCTAATGGTGCACACCTAAAACTAGTACAATAGCTTGGGCTTCAGCATCGTATAGACCAAACAAGGTAAATTTGTCTAGAAAATAGTATGATTGAGGTATTCTTTTATCAACGCAGCCACTTCAATATGGGCGATTCACAATAGCACGCCATCAAGAGTGTGCAGCACGTTGGCCAATCACAACGCCCGAAATTTGTCGACCCTTTCCAAACGCGCACTGGGTCGACAAATTTTGCACACTGTGATTGGCTAACGCATTGCAAACTCTTGGTGGCGCACTTTTGTGACACAGCCGTATTCTGTATTCCCCTCTCCATAACGTCATCTTCAATCCCTCCCCGACCCTGTCTGTAATTATGTACGACATCTTTCACTTTGAGGACACAAACTTCAGCCATTGAGATGGCTGGAGTCGCCTGACCAGTTCGAGTCTCATAAAACTATCTCCCGCTTTGGCAGAGCACAATTTGTGGCCCCGTGGTGAGGTCATCGCCGTCCCATCCCTTTTTGACCCTGAAGCCAAATCTTCCCCCACCCCATCTGCTCACCTGTCTGACGTCGTCCCCCACTTTGAAGATGCAGGCTTCCCAGCTGAGCGGCTTCCTGGCGTGGTCCTCTTCCTCCTTCGGATCTCCCCCTCTCAGTCCAATGCCTTCCAGGTCATGCACGCCGCACTTCTTGACTTTGAACTTGGCAAGGAATGGCGCTTTGGCGGCACTGAAGCAAAAACGAAAAACCAGAAACAAACAAGACCATTCAGAAATATCTCCAAATGGAAAATAATTTCAAGGAAAAGCGTGCTCAACTGAGGGGATATCCATAGACACCATGTACTCCGAGACATTGTCTCAACACGTAATCCAAGTAATTTTTCTTCTGCACACTATTTGGTTAAATATAAGAAGTATTACATCAGAACTTTTTAATCATTCCTTTTTCAAGAAACATGTTTCTGCAGTGCAGACGGGAACCTTTTGCTAAAAGTTAGCATGAACGACCACAAAATTCAATGCTTCAAATGACAGCCGCAAGGTTCGCCTCAATTTTCTTACCACTGGTAGTTTGTTGGAGTTTTTTGGAGAGATTCAAAAGTATTTCTCCAGAATCTTCTACTTGAATTCTATCATATCTAACCACTTGCTGCAGGGGTTTCCGGAACCGGACTCCTTGGGTTTATACACATAGCCGGGGAGCCCGAAATCGGACAAAGAGCTGGGCCTTGTAACAAAAGACTGTACTCCGAACAAAAGACCTTGCTGCTGGGAATTGCCAACATTTTTTCAGTTGTCAATAGAGGAGGAAATCCATCATTGTTTTGAATGGTTATACCACTGTTTGTGGCATTTAGCACATGCAGATTACCACCGGGGACAAAAGTGCTCCAGCACTCCAGTGATGAGCGATACAATACCGCTGCACGCTAATCTGGTCCGCATTTGAAAAGACGCCAGCAGCGCACTGGGCCAGTTTCAGGAACAAAAGAAAATTACCTAACACCGCACAATCTGGGCTCTCTTTACAAGGGGGCAGGCCTGGCTGAAATAAAGTCAGATTGGAGTAACCACCAGACAGTCCTTCGTGTGGGTATAAACGACCAGTAAAATGAAGTGATGAATTTTGAAGAATTTTGATAATGGAAAATCTCCGGGGTAAACCTCATACAACTTCAAATTAAACCTGGCAGCATATGCTTAAACCAAGAATAACCAAATTTCCCATTTATGACATTTTGGGTGGCCATTCTACCACAAGTTTTAAAAAGATTAAAAAACTGAGATAAAACGGTTTTTTTAAACGTGGTTGCCCAAAAAATTGGACCATACTTGAGAGTGTCTTGTAACTTGAGAGCTCGTTCAATCAAAGAGATTTGTGAGGAGTTGATTCAAACAGAAAAGGAGTTTTCCTAGATACTTGATGCTGGTGCTGTTTTTACCTCTGCATGGGCGTGCCTGATTTGTAGTCTATCTCCATGACGATAGCCTCGGGACTGCTGGGCAGGTAGCAACCAGGCTGGAGTTGGATTTGGCTCAGGGCCTTCAGGCAAGCAGCCTTGCGTTCCTCACCCTTGGGAAATGGTCTGAAAAGAAAAAACTGCACTGTTAACGGCTTTAAGCTGGAAGATGTGCAAACTTGCTGGGATTTTCTGTGTCGTAGCACCAAGGATGCTTGTACTCATTCTGGTGAAATTCTGCGTGCCGATGCAATACCCAGTGACCTCTATACTCGTCCCAAGGTTTGAGTGAATTTCCATTGTGTTTGTATACACACAGAGACTCCAACTCGTCCATTGAGGTAGAGTGTGTGTGGAGCCCTCAAGCGGCCGTGGGTCACGGCCAGTGTCTCAGAGCTTAAAGAAACACGAACATCCGGTAAGGAATGTCAGACAAATCTTGAAAAAAAAATGACCTCAAGTGTCAGCATTTGTAAATCCAACTATGTAATGCACAGTGGTTCTGGCATCTTGTTTTAAAAAGTCAGTATTTTTAGCTGAAAATATTATCATGTCCGGGACAAATTCATAATGGAATAATACCATCGGCAAGTGGTTATAAGGTTAAATTTCTTGGAAAAGAAAAACAGAACTGACGGAGTAGGGAACTGAGTTTTGAGGCGTTTTACCGGATTTCACCCGAGATTGCTGTGATCTTGCCAAAGAAGTCAAATTCCCTCTCGTAGAAGGCCTTAGCTGGTCCTGAGAGATTGCTGAAGATGGTTTCCATGATCGCTTCCAGGTGGTCGGCGATTTCGGCTGCAAGGAGAATGATAAACAACGACCTGTGAGCCAGATTGGTCATGATGAGATGACAGCTACCAAACTTCGCCTTGCCCCTAATTCAGTAGTTTGCTACCTTAAAAAGAAAAAACTGGTTGCTTGCCTACGGTTTTGAGACTCTGCATGTGCCATGTCATTTTCTTCCCATCTGCACAATGTCAGAATTGACATTTGGGCCATTCTATGAATTTGACATCCAAACTTGTGACATTTTATGTCCCTGTTACACCTGACCTGTTTAACTTGACAGGGAAATATCACTGGAATTGATTTCAAGCAATTTCTGTTTATTTTTATCAATTCATCACTCTCGGAAAACTGAGAATGTGTTCTGAATTTACAAAATCTTAAGTCAGACGTGACAGGGACAGAAAACAATTGGACTCCTAATTTATAGAATAACCCATTTGTATTTGAGTATGAACTGGTAAGAGTTAGTGTCACGTCAGTGTTATCTTGCAAAGTTCACCAGAAAAAATGCATCGGCCGTCCACTGAATGTCTGATTAAACAGTGCCGTGGTAGGCGTATAGTGACCATTGACTTCGAAACACAAAAAGCGAAAACGCACAGAACCAACGAAAAAGTTCCAAGACTAAATCCAACGAAATTCCTGAATCAAGGAACTAGCAACAGTGCAAGAAATATTTTCTCGTTTGATGAATTGGCTGATATTGCACGAACTCTAAAAAAAAAACCATCAAGGTTAACTGTGAAAGAAAAGCACTTTGCGGAAGCAGTTTTAAATTGTCAGTCCCAAGCCTTACCGTCTCGGTTCTTTCCGTCTTCATCCGTGAAGATGTTAGTTTTCATGTTCCAAATGAGTTGGTGGGACAGCAGCTGTGATTTCTGGGCCAGGATAGTGATTAGCTCCGTCACATAGCCAAACTGAGGGAACCATACGAGAGTGGAATGTTGACATGTTAATTGGTTGAAAGAATGCCGGAAACTAATTGGTCAGGGATGGTCACATGGGCATGCTCATATCAGGACAGTCATGCAATTGGAACAGAAGTGCAAGAGATTGAATAGTACAGAAGAGATGGCAAACCCAATAAAAAAATTGGCCCAAGTTCGAATGGAACCCAAGTTAGCATACTTAAAGTAACAGTGAGGCAGGCCTGACACGTGGCAGCTCTCTAGGACAACTGTTTGGTTTTCCAGTGAATTACAAATTGTTTGCTCATTTCAGCACAGGCAGTGCACTGCCCTCTAAGATGGCTACCATGCAACTGGACCATTACCAGAGCAGCAACCAATCATTTTAGTTCCAAAGGTAAAAATCTACAGTTTAACACCAGAAAACATAACTATGACACATCTTGCATCTTGGAAACAAAATGGCCTCATTTGAACCCGAAATCTTTAAAAACCCGAATAATAGTCAACTAACCGTGTCGTATCTGATCGCCTGGACTAGCTGAGGGACGTAGAACAGCAATGCCTCCGGCGGGTAGAACTGCAGCACCTTGGTGGCGTACTGCGCCGTGATTGGGTGCGGCGCGTACTGGTTGGAGAAATACGAGAGCGCCACCACGGGTGCCACCGGTGCCCAGCACAATGCGTAGCTCAGCTGGAGGACAATTGAAAGAGGAGTCGGTAACTGACTGCCTTATTTCTCTTGTATTCAATACTGCAATTCATCTTTGCGTCAGGCCCATCCGTCAAGAATTTGTATGGATTTCTTGCGAGTCATTTGATCCCAATACTACGAATATACTGCTCTTGTCCGACACCAATTTTTCTGAGACAGGGACCAACAAACCTTAACCCTCAACGCATGGGGGTGACTTGAGTGACAGGGAATATAAAACTCTTCAGATATATATTCATGACAAGGTTTTCACACACAACGTTTCACTGAACCGCTGAGATCTGTAAGGAACGAGGACTGTGAGAACGTCCAAACAACCTGGCACTTTTAAGGCCAAGGGTTCGGTGCAGCACGCAAGTGTGATGTGAGAATCACTGTGATAAAGCACACCAGTCAAGAACAACTTGTGTCGATGTTCACGTTGTCAAGGTCACTTTGAAAGTGTATGTGGGTAAAGTGTGAAGCACTCTTTCACCTGCATTTTCAGTACGCCAAACAAGGGTGAGTTGGAGCGACAACTATAGTTAACCATCGCTCAACTAACACCGCCCAAATGATGGACGGTTCATGTCTACCTAGTCGACCATTTTGGACCAGGCCGAGGGGTATGGTTGCACCGCTGGTTATCAATAGCTGATTTGACTTATCATTACAGGGGGAACCATTCACATGAAAATAACTGTACAAGATTTCAGCGACCATGTATAAGCTGCAAGATTCTCAGCCAACTGTGAAATGTGAGTACTAAAAACAATAAGATTTTACAAAATAGGCCAACTAGGGTCATTTGAGTGCATTAAACTCCATTGCACATGCACACTGTTGAAAAAGCAATTGGCTACTGGTCAAAGTCTACATGTGTAGTTAGAGCCTCAAGTTTTACAACTGGGATTTTACGCGGGGTCCTAGTCGTTGATGCCTTGTTTAGAGACTTAGTTACCTCTGGTACATCAGCCTCCACGCTGTGCTCTGTCACCAGGTAGTGTAATGCGTAGGCTTGGTTGTACATGGTGGTCGGTTCCAGGCGAACCAGTCTTGTCACCTCTCGAACCAGGGCTTCCGAATTCTTGAATCTAACGGTTAAAAATCAAACTTCGGTCAAAATGTGCTCATCACATGTTCTTCTGTTGGAGTACCTCTTTGATGTATTTTTGTTTTCGTAAGTTTTTACCAATAAGCATGGATTCTAATGAAATGTACAGGATTGTCATTTGAAACTCTGGACCGGACGGACCCTTCCTGAAAAACTTCTCACAATTTTCCCCTTCCTTACTGTCTTCTAAGACTAATTTTGAGATCTTTACCAAAGTTAATGGTTAAAGATTTCCAAATCTTCATTTCTGGCTACTTTTGAGTGAAGCTGGCATGTACTTAACCACTTCCTGCTGGGGACTCTGGAATCAGAGACGTATGGTTTATATTTTTGTGGCCAAGGTCTCCAAACTCGGACAAAAGATATAGGCCCTGTAACAAAAGACCGTACTCTGAACAAAAGGCCAGGCTGCTGGGCATTATCAACATTTTTCACTCTCAAAAGTAGTGATAATCCAGCCCTGTTTTGAACGGTATACCAGGGTTTGGGGCATTGAGAGTGAGCGGATTACCACCGGGGACAAAAGCACTCCACCACCGCAGCGATAAGCCAAACAGCACCGCTGCACGCTAATCTGGCCCCTATTGAAAAGAGGTCAGCAGTGCAATGAGCCAGGTTCGTGAACAAAAGAAAGTTACATAACACCGCACAATCTGGGCTCTTTTTACAAGGCTGCAAGCCTGGCTGAAATACTTGGGCTTCAATGAAGATCACCTGTCAACTTAGAGTAGCGCCTAAAGATTACTTCGTGCAGCTATAAATGACCGTTAAATGAAATGATGAATTTTTGAAGGATTTGAAAACGGAAAAAATGATAGTCATGCCAGCCCAGCATCATCAACATTGAAAAATGCCCCGGCATGAAGTGGTTAAATTCCAATCTGTTTTATGAAGGCACTGGATTTGACAATCTTCTATAAGCACTGTCTAGAGCCAGACAAAAAGGACCCAGTTTTCCATTATGTGAATGACGAGAATTGAGAAAAAATTCGGAGACCCCAGCCGCGCATATAAACCATTCGGCTCCTATCCCGGAGTCCCCGGCAGGAAGTGGTTAGAGACTTTCATCCAGTGACTCCAGATATTATTCCATGGGAAAATCTTTCAATTTAGAAATAACCAAAATTTAAATAGAGTGTTGCAGTAGCAGTCCTTACAAGACTAGACACAAGACCAGTCACAAGTAACAGGGTGAACACTGATAAAGGAATGCTTTTGGTTTTCATTTATATTGATTGTGACTTGAATTCGGTGAATTCAGACTGGAGGTTTTTTGATGGTCTTATGAGATCTCGACTAGAGCATTTCAGAGGAAGTACTTGAGTATACATGAGTTTTCTTTTCTCGGCCCAGTTTTCTGGTCAGTCTTGTGTTTATATTTTCTGAAAAACAAAACAGACAGGAAAGTGACTTTTATCAGATCAAGGAGTGTGGATTTTTTTTACAATACCCATGTTAAACTTTAACAAAGTCACTGAGTGCAGACCAGATTATGAAAGTCATTTTGCCTACCTGCTTGGCAGACAGGAGGCCAGGTTCGGTGACAGGTCCCAGGCCAGCCGCACAAACTCCCGCCAGCTGCGTTCGTTGATCTGCTGCCCTCTCCAGCCTGCCAAGATCTCCTCCGATTGGATCTTCTGCTCGGCGGCGTCCATAGGGTTGTACCAGGTGCACAGTCTCTCAATCTCATTGGACTACAACAGAAAAATTTGATTTTTAAAAGGTTAGACCCAATAATGAGACCAAGTACCAAAAAAGTAAGCACCAAAACCATAATGAGATGATAAGTACGGCTTGCAGTGAATTATGTGGGACCAATCTCTTTGGAGAAGAAATGTGGTTTGATTAGAACCGGTTCTTTGCCAGAACCACACTTCTTCAAAAAGAAATTATTTCAACCCGATAGCATTACAAGCCTTTTGCCAATCACACTTCCACCAAGCAAACCCAAAGATTTTGGAGGATTCTCTAGGATTGAGGAAGGTAGAGCTTGATGCCCCTTGAAAGTTAGAGTACAGAGAAGGTGCTGTAGTTTCCACCACAATAGCATATTTTGAAGAAACTAAAAGTATTTGGCTATAAATTTCTGGGAGATATCCAAAGGTTAGCAATGCCAAATTTATAACTGCTTCAAATCTAACCTTAACCTATACTTTCTTGGATGTAAGGAGAATAATACTAAATATCTGAAGATTTCCGTAAACAAAAAGGTACAGGTTCACTTCGATTGAGTGTTAGGAGTGAGCTAAGCTGACTCACGAGTAAAGACAAGATGAGATGTCGCCTCCTCATGTACACCTTGGTGTACTTCAGGCCCATGTCGCCTCCTTTCCGGGCCGCTGATGATCTCTTGGAGATGACGGACATGCTGGTGCCCAGCGGCGTGGTGTTCATCCAGCCCTGGAGCTGCAGACCCTGCCGGCTGGGGATGTCCACGCTGGCGCGTATGTCTGTTGGCAGGACCGACAGGGTCCCGGAATCTGGAGAATCTGGGAAATATTAAGAAAAAAATATTCATGTGCTTATAAACACATGATTTCAACTCTCAGAATAAGGAGGGTAGTGTTGGGATCTAATCCATCAAAATGTGGACAAGTATTATCAGTGGAGAAAGAAGGAATGCCTTTGTCACTGCTCATTAGAATGGCTGGCAACTCGAGTTGAGGATGGGTGACTTTGATTGACATGTGAGGACTTGTGGGGACTTGGGAGGACTTGTGGGAGAATTGGGAGGACATGTGGAGACTTGAGAGGACTTGTGGGAGACTTGGGACAACTTGTGGGGACTTGTGAGGACTTGTGAGGACTTGTGGGGACTTAAGTTGGACTGTGAGAGAGCTTGTGATGGACTTATGAAATTGTTTAAACTATTTTGTCTCAGTCTATCGACTTTACACATGGTCCACTGAGGGCGGTGTAGTCTTCTTTCCACACCCAAGAAGAAGCTCAGGAGCACTTATCGGTTGTTAATGTACACACCTTGGGGCAAGAGGTTGGGCGTCTTCAGGTATTTCTTCTCAGCGAGGACCATGTGGAAGAACTTGAGCAATGTCGAGATGTCATCCTTTAGCAACGGCAAAGCCTGAGTTGGGACCATGGGTAGCATGCTAGGAGGACCAAAAAAGTAATCAACTCAACGAGATGAAGCACTTGACATTTCTGAATTTTTACTTTTCAATTAAAGTCTTGCTGAAGTTGTTACAAAGGCAACGCTAAGATACATACATCTTTCTCTCCATTTTTTAGTCTTTTATGTTCTAATGTGAGCAAGATTATGTGAGATCCACTTTCACTTGTGTTTCCAGATGCTGAACTCAATTTGTTCTTGTTAATGCCTACTGAAACAAATTGACTAAAATATGACCTTAAGTCTCATTTTGTGGGATCCACTCAAATATTTCAAATACCCACAGGTATTGCCAACGGCTGGATTTCAATGCACGTTGATGACTTACCTGAAATAGTCAAAGACGGCAGCGTAGAGCCTCTCCCTGAGTACGTTCTTGGCGGTGCCATTGGACAGCGTGTCCCCTTGCAGCAGTGACAGCCCGATGGAGAGCAGACGGAATCGTGGCCCGATGGCCCCGATGTGACGACACAGGACGCTGTGCTGGGAGCCGGCACGCATGGACAGGGACCGATGCAGCATGGTAGTGAAGATCTCAACCACGCCAATCTGGCTGTACTTGACGCTTTCAATACGCTGAGCAAGGAACTAAGAGATTGATAACATGACAAAAAAAGCTTAGGAAGAACCAATCAGGTGTGAAATTAGTGTCTGAAGACAAGAGTTTTGCTGATAAACCAGATATGACCCATTCTCCAGATCTTTCAAGGTCCTCAAACTCCACTGGGATATAATGAAGGATTTTACAGGGTTATAGAAGGCAAATGTTCAGGAAGATAGCGTTAAGATCCTAATGGTACGTAATGTACGTCAGAGCTCACATCAGTAGACCTTTCGCCTCGTCACCATTACCAAATTTTAAAAGGACAAAATATCAAGATGGCAACTCTATATTAGCCACTTCCTGCCGGGGATTCCGGATCCAGACACGTATGCTTTATATGGGTGGCTGGGGTCTCCGGACTCGGACAAAGGAAACAGGGCCTTGTAACAAAAGACCGTACCCGGAACAAAAGACCAGGCTGCTGGGAATTACTGACATTTTTTCACTCTCAAAAGTGGAGATAATCCTGCCTTGTTTTGAAACAGTATACCACGGTTTGGGGCATTTCGAGCGAGCGGATTACCACCAGGGACAAAAGCGCTCTACCACCACAGCAATGAGCCACACAGCACCGCTGCATGCTAATCTGGCCCCGATTGAAAAGAGGTCAGCAGCACACTGTGGCAGGTTCATGAACAAAAGAAAGTTATATAACAACGCACAATCTAGGCTCTTTTTACAAGGCTGCAGGCCTGGCTGAAACGGCTTGGACGTCAATAGATTTTGTCTGTCAGGCTGAAGGGGCCACCAGACAGTCCTTCACGTGATTGTAAGTGTCCAGTAAATGAAGATAGGAATTTTTAAAGAATTTTGAAAACAGAAAGAAGTGATAAATATCCCAGCAACCCATCATCAACATTGATAACTGCCCAGGTAGGAAGTAGTTAAGGATTTACCACTGCTTAACGGATGTAAGCGTATTCTGTCTCTGGAGTTTGGAGCCACTGACAATCTTTGTGAAACTGATGAAGGGCCTGTCAGTAAACTGTGCATTTACAGAAGCCTGGAAATGATCCCCTTTTATCCAATCTGACTGAGCTAGTGAGCAGTGCTTTTAGTCGAGTACTTTTTGAGTACCCAGTCAGGTGTGAACAGACTTGGAGACGGTGACTGGATGGTGAATGCACAAGGGTAAGCTTCTTAACTAAAATGTGACCCATTCTGTGAAAATGAGTCTAAAGTCGCAAGGGTCACTTTTTGAGTTTTCATTTGTATTGGAAAGAGCAATTTGAGTTTAATATTTTGATGTATCACTCAGTTTGGTATCCTGATAAAAGTGGATACCCCATGGTGAGAAATGCTTTGGTTTCCTATTGATCTCAACTGTGCAAAATTACTCTGATGGACTTTTTACTTCAAAGTGGCTCTGGCGACTTAAGACTCATTTTCAGAGTGGGTCACAAATGATGACTTCCGACCATTGTTGTTTCATACAAATTTACAAACGCAATACTCAAAAAGTATCTGGCCAAGTATTTTTTGAGTAGTTTTCACCTCCAATTTAATTGGACAATCTGACTTTTGTACATTTGCCGTCCAATGCCCATATTCTTCAGCGTTGTTCCCACTTTATCGGACTCGGGCTGGACCAAGAGAGGGCGTTATTTTTCTTAGCAACGACGGCTCCTTTGGTCAGAAATGAACTTTGCCGGCTCACAAACGACTAGGAAATACAAACGTTACGGTTGCATCGCTACCAACAAAATGAGCACTCCCGACCAACATAGCTCTTTTCAACCAATGAGGGAGTGCTTCTGCTCAAGGTGGATACCGTTCAATATTTGGCAGTGAACCTAGCACTCGAAAAGTGCTCAATTACAGCACTGCTACTAATAACCAGAATTTGCTAAACACAGAAAATAATGTGCTCAGCGAGAACAGATTACCAGCTAAGTAGTCAATCAATGTATACTGCTAGAGAGAGGTTTGCAGAAATTCACTAAGTAAGATTTTCCAGCCAAGAAACTCTCAGGACTGTGGTTTCTACGGTCCCTGGTTTTTACAAACCTTACAACACATCAAAGTTCTTACCAGTGTCCATATGTCGTGGGGCGTGGCATTGGGTGGGTTCGGGAGGGGCACATCCTCACCGCTGGCTGCAGCTAGGGGGCTGGGCTGGTCGGGATCCGGGGCAAACATGCCTAGCCGACGCTCCACCGTCATCTGCCAGGCAGCTGCCATCTCCCGCATGAACTGCGTTGACAAGAAAGACACGAACAGAAAAGCTTTAATTAACCCTGACCCTGTATGGTATTTTGGCTAGAAACCCTGCCAGACGCTCAGACTGCATCATTTGTCGAAGTGGCTTGCCTGCCCAGTGTAACCAGATCCAACTGGTCAAATGTCCCCGAGGCCAAACAGCCTGGGAGTATGTGGTTGCCAGTCACCATAAGATCCAACAGTGGCATCGTTCAATGGGACTAGCTCTCATTGTCTCCACATGACCAGTTTGTTCGGCTGCTGTTGATTGCCAAATACATCCAAGGGCATCAGTCTTTTTCACCTGATGGACTGCTGCGTAAGGGAGGGTTAGGGTTAAGAGTTGACATTTTGGAGAGTGAGTTTGTAGCAATTCTAGAAACTGCATCCCTGATTAAATTCAATTAACATAACCTTTTTAGAACCTTTGAAAGTCCACCAGATGTAACAGGATTTTGAAAGGCTGAGGAAGGTAGAGTCAGCCACTGTTACTTAAGCTTGATGAATCTCCACAGTTGAAGTAAAAAGAATGTGGCATTGATTTCCTGCACAGTGGAGGATTTTGCAGGATTGAGGAAGGCAGAAATGAACTACGTACATGCATTTCCAGGTCGGGTCGAGCAGCTAGCAGCCACTCCCAGCATGCAACAGCAGTCTCCATGGACTGCAGGGTGAAGACACAGCCAGCCGCCCAGCACAAGTTGTGCAGTAGGTGCCTCTCGAGACCTACAAGTGGATCCAATGTAGAGATCACTGATAAACACCATCCCCCAACACACAAAACACATGTTTACCCTCCCAGATCCTTCAAAATCCATCTACTAGGTTTTTAAGATTTTGCAGGATTGAGGAAGGCACAAGCCAGTCACTCTCACTTTTACATTGATACAGATACCCATAGAAAATCAAAGAACAAAGAATGCGCTGTTGGTTTTTCTATATGCAGCGGGGGACTCTGGATTACATGAGGGGGGTTCGCAGGCAAAGGAATGCCTAGATTTCTGGAGTTAAAGTTCCCTGCGTTAAAGAATGTCTTATTTCATGGGTGCTTTTGTGAACTCCAAGTAAAAACCACAGGCTCATTGAGCAGGAAATTGTCTGTTTCATAAAAAGAAATAAAGCCTAAGTCTTAGGTACTATGCATCACTTGTGCTAGTTCTCCACCCATAATTGTAGGCAAAAGTTTCAACGATGCGCCCTCACAATTTCATGCAGCTCTTTTGCAGAAAAACACTGCTCACCAAGGTTTCCTATTACGCAAAAGTCAACTGGGAACCAGCCATAAACAATAAACATCGCAGGCTGTTTTTTAGCCGTTTTGGTTGCACAAAGCAAAAAGGTTCAGCACCCAGCAATTTTTTTTTTTCATTTTGGAACTGTTTTCTTGAAAAATCTGACTCCGGTCGGAGAGAATTTTCAGCAAATTTTTGTAGCTGGGTTACAAAATACTAATAAAGATACTGGTTTTTCCTTGACTGACCTTCGGACGTTATGAGCAGAGCGCAGACCCGGTACATGCAGCTCGTTACAGATTCTTCCTTCCCCGTCTGACAAGCCTTAATCAGCTGGTCACAAAGGACTTTGGACAGGCTCAGCCCGCCAGGACCGGCATGCATGTAGATGGCTTGCATGCCCGACACCTGGTAGACAAAGGTCACAGGCCAAAGGTCAGAGAGATTCACAGACTGCTCTAACAAGTTCATGAATAATGATTACAAAGTACACAAATGGGGTCAAGAGATATGCAACTTACTTCTCCAGTAAATCTGCTGCGAAGTGTCATGGCGGAGACAAAGTTACTTGAATCTCCTTTCATGCTGTCAGACAACTGAGCACAGAACAACAGAAAAGATTAAGCACTACCTGATTCTCAGGGGATGAACTAATGCTTAATGGCCAGAGGGGTGTCCTGGCATCTTCTGTAGGCCCTACGGGCCATGTGAACACCTCACTTTGTCAAAAAAAGACGACATAAAAGCATAAACCTTGGCAACTTGGACACCCTTGGACAATACTACTATTCAGATCATTTGACAATCGGCAGCATGATGATTTGACGAGCAACACTTACCCCGCCGCCAATCGGCCCCTGGCTGAATCCGGCACACTGGAGGGCGCTCTCCGTGGCGGCTTCCAGCTTGACGCGCTGCGACAGCCCGTCGTTGATGTTCTCAAAGTTGATGAGGTACTGCTGGATGTGGGAGCGTGTGACGGAGGGCGCCCACTTGACGGCCTCCTGGAAGATGCCACCGCATCGCGCCGAGAAGTCGCGCATGATACTCTGGGGATGGACAGAACGGATTGCACTCATCGTGAAAAGGGAATCTTTCTATGAGGCAACTGGATAGGATCGCTGGGCGAATTTTTTCAAATGTTGTATTAATTCCACAAATTTTAAATTGTGGGGCAGAAATCGAGCCTCTGCTTATATCACTTCATGCCAGATGAAGTCAGGGATTTCTGGCCCAACTATCTAGCTGGGCGTCTGAACGCATTAAGCCAATTCTGTATGCAATGTTGGGTGGTATTTTTTTTCAAGGGTGAAAGTGGAGGGAAAGGAAATATCTACGAAATAGTCCCAAGAGATTTTGAGTGCCCCATCAGTGTAGGGTCTACGGCATGCATAAATTTGTGTTGGCCAAAAGGCATCCCTTAGTATTTCATGTGGTCTATAACTCTATATCAACTTTTATCCAAAAAAGCATACTAATGCGAAGCCAATGATATTCCATATTGTCAGAGAGATCGTTTGATGAAGAAATCCTGACAAATCTCATCGCTGCTGTACTCCTGTCTGTGCTTCAGTGACTCCCATTGAGTTTATATACACACACAGGGGCTCAGACTAATCCGGGGGAGTTTTAGCCAATACCAATCCGCGACACAGTCTCAGAGTTTCAACAAGTAACGACCTGGTAAGAAACGTCACCCAATCTTGAACAAATGACCATCAAGGGTCAGCCTTTTATAAAGTCCAAGTTTCTCAAGGAGTGCAGTTGTGGTATTACGTGGTTTTAAAGTGTGGATATTTTCAGCCAAAAATAACATCGCTATTCAATCAGACGTTGATCGTTGTGGATTGACACCATCTTCACGTGGTTGAAACCTACCTCCCTTGCGTCACTGGTGTCCATGACCGTCAGCTTGTAGTTGGTGTTGGGCACCGAGAAGATGTCGGCTTCCTGCTTGTTGTTGGTGACTACAGAGCGAGAGAGGAGCTGGAGAATGTCCAGCATGGTCCACAGGATGCTGCCGTTCCACAACAGGTGGGGAAACCTAGACGAGAAGGTAGGATTCCAGACAGCTGATGAAATGGGTAGGGAGGACTTGCAAAGAGCAAGTTTCACGGTTGTCTATAGAAGGTTTGCATGGGTGCTATCTTGAAGGCCGGTGTTTTTATTCCACAGGGTATGCACAAGGCAGTTTCCCTGTGGAACAAAAGAACTGCCCTGCAGGATGGCTCCCAAACAAAGCCTCTATATGGAAAAATTACACACGTTTTAAAAGTGTACAGCAGTACAATGTTTAACAAATTAGACATACAAAGGGTGTTTTATTTTGGGACAAATTTTTGTGCTGATTTTAAGCTATTTTGCTCAAATTTGACAAGCCGAGTTGAGCAAGACGAAGAGCTGTTGAATCAGACTCATCCGACACGTCAGTGGTCATTTTGGTGCCTATGTTTCCACACGATCTGGTCAGGTGTTTAAATTTCAATTGCCACTTTTCTGCAAAACTTTGACACAATAAACTACTCATGTTGACAGGAACCAAGCATGAAATTTTTACTCGAGAAGTTTTGACGGCAGCCAATTTTCCCCCACCTTAACAGACACTAACATTCAAGAAGTTAATCTACGCTAATCAACCTATTTTGAGAAGTGCTACCAGGTCAGTGGTTACTTTATTACTTACTTGTCCACGAGTTTCGACAGGTACTTGTCCGCTATCTTTCTGATCTGCTTGCGGATGTGGTTGAACTTGACTAGGAGAAACTGGGCGTGGCTGACAAGCTCAGACTCCCTCTCTGGCGTCCTCGGCTAAAGGGATTAAAATTGCAATAAAATTCACTGTCAACTGTACAATGGTTATAATTTGACACAATCTGATCCATTGAGGAGGTTTGGGTTATAGTCCCCTCCAAGTGAATTTGTTCTGTTTCTCACAAGATCTTGAATACATGACACTTGGTTTGGTTTTTGAAAGAACGGGTGCGGTAGGGGATAGGGTGGGATGGAGATGTAGGGGTGGGTAAGGTGGAGATGTAGGGGTAGGGTGGGGATGGTTTTGGGATGGGGATGTAGGCGTGGGTGAAGTTGGGGTTGGTGTGG